ATTGTGAAGCAGACTAGCTTCTCTTTGCCACCCTTAAAAACTTTCCTTTCCTCTCCCTTCTGCTTGTGTAATGATGCTCCTGTCCTGCATTTGGCTGTAGACAGCAGAGGAGGCAATGACCCCCATAGAGTCGACCTTTTCTCTCAGCGTCAACTCGCGCCTTGACTGGTAGGCGCGCCTAAACACGTCTGGCTAATGCCGTAGCCTGAGCGTTTGGAAGTTCTCAAAATATGTTCCAACCAGCGTGTCTACAACCCATCTTCCAATCAAGTATCTTTGTGCTGCCTAGTGTGCTAATGGCCTCTGCTGAGGTGAGTTCTGTAAACCTCTCGTCCCTTTTTTCTGGTCTGGTTATATTCCTTAGTTGCTCAAGTCTTTCAGCTAACCATGTGCCCCCATCACGCCTCTTCCAACTCAAGCCCATGCCTTTTCCGAGCGTGTGCGTGGCAGGGACACGATGGGGCGCATTCTAGCAAGGGGCCACAGCCGGGTGCCGGTGTATCGGGGCCATCCCAGCAACATCATAGGCGTGCTTCTCACCAAGACGCTCCTCACCGTGCGCCCCGAGGATGAGACCCCTGTCAGCTCCATCTCCATCCGCCGCGTCCCCAGGTAGGCCACTTTCGAGACGTCTTTATAGCCATCTGATACTTGTAAAAAAGAAAAAAAAAAGAAAAAGAAAAAAGAAAACGTCAACAACAACCTTCTGAGACGCCCCCCTCCTTCCCTGTGCGCTGCCAGGATGGCAGCGAGCTTGCCGCTGTACAGTGTGCTGAACGAGTTCCAAAAGGGCAGCTCGCACATGGCCGTGGTCGTCAAGAAGAAAACCCCGCCCCCTCCCACCCATGCTTCCCTCGCTGCTGCCGCTGCTGCTGCTGCCGCCGCCGCCGGTGGTGGTTCTGCTGGTGCTGCTGGTGGGGGTATGGGGGCGGTGCAAGCAGGGGAAGTGCAAGTGGGGCAGGCAGATGTGCTGACGATCTCAATGCCCACGAGCACATCGGAGTCCTCTCAGCACGCACTCTTCAACGACCCCACCTACTGTGAGACTCACAGCCAGGGAGGCAACAGCCGCCGCAACTCAGAAGACCTGCACGAGCATGGTTATGGCTATGGGGGTGGGTATGAGTATGGGAGTGGGAATGCGTATGGGTATGGACGGAGTCAGAACAGTCAGCAGCAGGAGCCCAGGACGCCTCCCCCTCAGGGGCACGCACAAGGCACTGTGTTCCGAGGAGCATCCACTGGAGATTCACCCTTGCAGCGCTCCCTCACTCCTCCTCCTGGCCATTACCATCACCATCCGCATGAGTCTCACCATCCGCATGAGTCTCACCATCCGCATGAGTCTCACCATCCGCATGCGTCTCACCATCAGCAGCAGCACTATCGGTTTGAGCGCCCCAGGACGCCCCCGCCTGTGCTGCTGGCTGCAGAAACAGCGGCTCTGGCGACTGGAGGGTCTTCCGCTGCTGCTGCCTTCGCTGCTGCTGCTGCCAGTGCGGGATACGAGCACACCCATTGGGTCGCTGGTGCTCCTGGTGCTGCTGCTGGGTTTGAGCATACCCACGCGCCTGCTGTGGCAGAGGCAGGGTTGGGACTAATCCACACGGAGGCACATGCACCCAAGCGTGTGCAGTGGCAGGAGCACCCAGGCATGCCTCTTGCAGGCCTGTCTGTGGGCGCTGTATCTCGTACTCATGCAGCAGGTGCAGCAGGGGGGGCGGTAGGAGCAGCAGCAGCAGGTGGGCTAACAGGGGGCGGAGCAGGAGGGTGGGCAGGGTGCGGAGCAGGGGGTGCAGCAGCGGGGGGAGCAGGGGAGGAGGAGAGTATAGATGTGGTGTATACTACCAAGGAGCGGAAGGCAAGGGCGGGGAGGAGGGAGGGCCATGGAGGGAGTGGGAGGGCGGAGGGGCAGAGGAGAGAGCAGGAGAGGGAAGGGGCAGTGGGAGGGTGGAGGTGGGAGAGGAGGGATGAGACGGAGGAGGTGGTGGGGATTATCACACTGGAAGACGTGATTGAGGAGCTGCTGCAGGTGCGTAAAAGGCCAACTGCGGTTGTGTGCAGTTGTGTGCAGCTGTGTGCGGTCGTGAGACGGAAATTTTTAATCGAGGAGCTATTGCAGGTGCGTTGGCTAGTTGAGCTGCTCTGCAATTGCCTTGGATTTTCAGAACTGCAAATTGCGTTGGATTTTCAGAACTGCAATTGCGTTGGATTTTCAGAACTGCAAATTGCGTTGGATTTTCAGAACTGCAATTGCGTTGGATTTTCAGAACTGCAATTGCGTTGGATTCTCAGAACTGCAATTGCGTTGGATTTTCAAATCTGCAAATTGCATTGGATTTCCAGAACTGCAATTGCGTTGGATTTTCAGAACTGCAATTGCGTTGGATTTTCAGAACTGCAATCGCGTTGGATTTTCAGAACTGCAATTGCGTTGGTTTCTTAGAAGTGCAGGTGTGCTGGTTCCTCGCATGCTGTCGTGTGCGATGGGAAGGCCATTGAGGGCCCATCTATGCTCGCTCTCCTGTACAACACCTATCCTTGTTTCTCCATTGTGTTCTCCTTCCTCCTAGGTGGTCCCACAGGAGGAGACAGTGGATGAGACCGATGAGTGCATTCACGTGCACTGACGGTGGCGCCTTCCGTCACATCCTTCCTGCCACCTTCTGTTGGTTTCTCCCCCGTGCAACACCTATCCTTGCTTCTCCCCCTCGGTGGTCCCACAGGAGGAGATAGTGGATGAGACCGATGAGTACTTTGACTTTTACCCACGGGACACCTTCTGTTGCTTGCTCCCCTGCCCCGTACAACATCTATCCTCGTTCCTTTGCCTTGCTCTCCCCCTTTGGTGGCCCGACAGGAGGAGATAGTGGATGAGACCGATGAGTACATTGACGTGCACCGACGGTGCGTTGCATGCTCCCTTGCTCACTCTTGCACTCACTCACTCACTCACTCACTACTCATTCACTCGCTCATGCACTCTCACTCACTTTCACTCATGCACTCACTTACTCTCACTCTTTCACTCGCTCGCTCACTCTCTCACTCAGACACTCGCTTGCACTTACTCACTCATGCACTCTGCCACTGCTCAGCATCTGTATATTCCTGTTGCTCATTTGTGCTCCTTCTGCCCTTGTCTTCTTGAAGGTTACCTAGACCTTCAGAACTTATGATTTTTTCGTGCTCTTTTGGTCTTCAGCATATTTATCACCACCGATCACCACATGTCGCCACATGTCACCATATCTCACCACGTGTCACCATATCTCACCCCATGTCACCACATCTCATCACATGTCACCACATCTCACCACATGTCACCACGTCTTACCACATACTGCAGCATCCGGGTGGCAGCCAAAGTGGGGCTCAACATAATGCCTAGACGAGTCCCTTCGTCCTCTCGCATGCTTGTAAGCCGCTCAACTCAACCCCTCTCTGCCTGCCTGCATAAGCATGCTACGAGTCATAAAAAAGTGCTGCTGTCATCCTTGCCGTCCCCATCTTGTTGCTTTCAGGCATCGTTGCATTTTGCCCATCCCCTCAAATCTGCCTGTCCCTTCATTCAGCCCATCCCTACTATCCTTATTCGATTCCCACTTCTTCCTGCCAATCCATCTCCCCTCACTTTCCCCCATTTCCTTTCCCATCCTCTCCCCCCACTCCCCCCAGGCCAATTCCTCACACAACCTGCAAGGCTTGGTGCGCCCAGATACCCGCTCCAACCCGCCAGATGTCAACTCAGCATACGCTGCTGCCGCTGCTGCTGACTTCTCAGCTCTCTCCCGCACACCCCCTGGAGGGGCCATGAGCGCCCCCACAGACTCTGGCATAACGCAGCCTCTGCTTGAAAGAACCTGACCACCAAACTCCGACCCTGTCGAACACAGAAAATAAGAACAAAATGTATTGTGGTAGGGGTTTTTTGGGGTGCCTACGTCCTAAGCAGAACCCCTAATTTTGGACCCCACCATCGGTCCAACCAGACTTGTCTGGTTACTGTTGAAAGAAAGTGTCTGCAGTTCTGCGTGCATTGCATGTTTTAAGAAACTATTTGAGCCCTTTCAGGAGGACAGAGCTGCCATACTGTATGCTAACTCCCTCGCTAAGTGCCCGTTGTCATCCATGCTGAAGAAACATCGAAACGCATTCGGCCTAGAGCATGAGTTTTGACCCGCCACGCGCCACGCTGTGGTGACATTTCACACGATCTCACTCGGGCCAATGCATTTAGCATCCATGATTTCTGCGGCACCTGAACTCCACACATAATCACACTCCTCGTAGAATCACACCAGCCCTCAGGAACACCTTCTAGCTCTCTCTGTGATTTTTCCCTTCTCCACCTTCAGCCACTGTAGCTTTGGGAAACTCCCAAGCATACCCCCAATACTCTCCGCAGTCACCTTGGGGCATGCTACCCCAGTGAAACGCGTGAGGCTTCCCAGTCTACTCTCCGAAATCACCCGGTCGGAGAACGCGTCGTTATAGTCCACAAGGAGATGCTCTACACGAGGACAGGGCTGCGAAACAGCATAGAAATCACTTTCTTTTAGCCCCGTGCAAGTGTGCAGGGACAGCCGGCTCAATTGCCTGAATGCGATGAGCGACGGGGGAGGCCTAGGGAAGGTGGAGAGTAGGGAGACTCGAGCATCCGGGGCAAAGGCGAAGCAGTGGAGGCAGAGCGATTCCAGAGGCACAACAGTTGCCTCTCCCCTTCCTCCTCCATCTGCTCCTCCTTCCCCACCCGCTGCCTCTCCAACACTTTCTTCCCTTCCTTCTCTTCCACGCCATTCCCAACCCCCCCCCTCCAAAAAACAAATCAAAAATATCAATCACCAAACGCTGACGTGGTTCAAGCCTTCCTCCACACAGCTTACCAGCAACATCAAGCACGGACCCTTTTCCATATTCCAACCGCAGCGCCTTCAATCGCGTGCACCCCTCAAGCATGCCCTGGCTCAGCATCGGCACGCCGCTAAGCGTCAGCGATTCTAAGCGCCGGCGGCGGATTTAAGCGCCGCTTCAATCACTCCAGGCATGAAGAGACGCCAGCTGCCCTGGAGGGAAAGAGACGCGAGAGATGAATTAGCAGCGGTTAGAGCGGCCAGTGCAGAGGAGGAAATCATGAGGCAGTCTTGTATGGTGAGGTGAGTGAGTGTGTGGAGAGAGCGCGAGAGAGGGAGCATTTCAGGGGGACCAATTTGCGAGCATGTGCAGAGAGCGAGAGAGGAGAGAAGGGGGAAAGCACCGAGGGATCCCAGGGAGGTTTTTGACTGATGCTGATTTGAGGGTACGAGATTGGAGGGAGGAGAGAGAGGGGGAGGAGGAGGAGAGGGAGGATAGGAGCTGGTCTGTGAGGTGCCAGAGGGAGAGGGAGGTGAGGGAGGAGCAGAGCGAGAGGGAGGAGATTTGCACTGGAAGGCCGTCTATGCGGTAGAACGTGAGGGAAAGCAGCGAGGGGAAGGCGGAGAGGGGCGGGCAGACTGCTTTGGCGGAGACCAGGCGGAGGTCCAGCGCCTTGAGCGCGCTGGTGGAGTTGGGGGGAGGGGGAGGAGGAGAGGGGAGAGGCGGGGGGGGGGGGGGGGGGGGGGGTGGGGGGGGGGGGGGGAAGTGGAGGACAAGGGTGAGGGGGTGAGGAGAAGAAGCAGAGATAGACGAGAATCGGTGAGTATGATCTGAGGAGTCAAACCAGAAGCCACGCGATTTGAGATGCAATCACGCACAGGACGAGATTTGAGGCGCCTCGAAAGCCCGGTACGAGAATCTACCTGACTAGTTAAAAAAATAGGTTACGAAAATTTTAAGAATTAGGTTTGAAAACTCGAAATACAACCAGTAATGAGTATCGGGACACGCACCGGCACTGCTCACTGAGCCTCCTCCATCCATCATCCGTAATCTCCTCGCATCCTACGAGGCTCAGCCGCTCCAGCTGCGAGCATCTCTAAACCCTAAACCGTCAATATCCCTCGCACGGAGAGATCTTCAAGGTCCGAGCATCGCCGAAGCAGCAATTCGAGTATCTGGACGTGGGGGGTCCCTTGGCGTGCTTTGTAGGTCAGGGTGCGGCGTGAACGGTTTTCGAGTTCGCGAAATCGCGAGCAGGAGAGGGCGACGTTTCGCCGATCAGTGGGGTTCTGGAGCTGACGTACTATCGACGTCAGCACCTCGTCTGGGAGATCGAAGATGCGAGCAGGCCCGATCCACTTCATGGCTCCGAAGAAACTTACTCTATGATGATTAAATGCGTCGCCAGATGCTACCTCAAAGCTAACAAAAAGAACGGATTTACGGTGCCAAACCCAGCCTTGACATTTCAGCACTAGACCTTACAACGAGGAGTCATAATCTCCCACCCTAAGAACACAGTCACATTGTGGCAGAGGCGGGTAAGCTGCGGCTATTCGGAGCTTCCAATCCACTAGACGGTTATGAACGAGGGACTAAGCTAGATCCGGGCTTACGCGCGGTTCGGGAGGGTCGAAAAGCCGTGGTGCTTGCGACGCAAACGACGAAGCATTGTCAAGGTTCGCAAAAAGAGAGGTGCTCGCGATACGCGTGTCTAAATGAGCGGTCCGATTTGTATAATAACTACACTCCCATGAAACGTACAGGCACCCCAACGGCTATATTGAACGAACACAAGAACCATGCTTGGCATGGATAATCTTCTTGGATGGAGCTCAAGACCGCTGCGAAGGCCTTCACCAAGTGTCTTCATGCAGTTACGGTAATAATGGTGACGGCAGCAAGGATCTCACAAGAGCCAATGCATCGAACATCTATCATTTATGGGGTGCCTAAACTCCACTCAAAATTACACTCGTATAATCATGCCAGCCCTCAGGAACACCCTTCTAGCCCTCTCTGTGACTTTCACCTTCTCCACCTTCAACCACCGTAGCTTCGGGAAACTCCCTAGAATACCCCCGATACTCTCTGCTGTCACCTTGGGACATGCTACAACACTGAAACGTGTGAGCTTTTCCAGTCTACACTCCAAAATCACCCGGTCGGAGAATGCGTCATTGTAGTCCACAAGGAGATGCTCTAAACGAGGACAGGACTGGAAAATCTCATGGAAATCCCTCCCTTCAAGCCCCGAACAAGCGTGCAGGGACAGTCGTCTCAGCTCCGTAAACGCACGGAAAGACGGGTGGCGTGAGGGAGGTGGAGGGAAGGGGGAAGTCGAAACCACGGAGAGAAAAACATCCGAGCGAAACTCAAAGCAGTGGAGAGAGAGGGTCTCCAAAGGCACAACTTTTGCCTCCACGTATGAAGGTGGAGCAGGTGCGTCCACTGGTGCAGGTGCGTCCACAGGTGCAGTCGTGCTCAAGCCTAGAGTTGCATCTAGTCCCTCTCCTCGTCCTATTCCTGCACCTCCTTCCCCACCTTCTCCCACTCCACCACCTCCTCCCCTCCCTCCTCTTTCATGCTGCACGTCACCCAGCCAATCAATCACAATGCCAGCAACAGCAAACAACGATCCTCGAGGCGGCTCAATGCTCCCTACACCCAGCATGCCTGCAATATCCCACACGGACCCCTTTCCATACTCCAACCGCACTGACTTCAATCGCGTGCACCCAGCAAGAGCGTCCGGAATCAGCATCGGCATGCCACTAAGCGTCAGCGATTCTAAAGCGCCGGCGACGGATTTAAGCGCCGCTTCAATCCCCACATGGCTGAAGAGACGCCTGTTGCCCCGGAGGGAGAGAGACACAAGAGATGAATTAGCAGCGGTTAAAGCGGCCACCGCAGAGGAGGGAATCATGTGGCAGTCTTGGATGGTCAGGTGGGTGAGTGTGTGGAGGGAGCGCGAGAGAGAGTGCATTTCAGGGGGACCGATTTGCGAGCATTGGCAGAGAGCGAGTGAAGAGAGGAGAGGGAAAGCACCGAGGGATGCCAGGGAAGTTGTGACTGATGCTGATGTGAGGGTGAAGGATTGGAGGGCGGGGAGAGAGGGGGAGGAGGAGGAGAGGGAGGAGAGAAGCGGGTCGGTAAGGTGCCAGAGGGAGAGGGAGGTGAGGAAGGAGCAGTGCGAGAGGGAGGAGATTTGCACTGGGAGGCCGTCTAGGCGGTAAAGTGTGAGGGAGAGCAGCGAGGGGAAGGCAGAGAGGGGCGGGCAGACTGCTTTGGCGGAAACAAGGCGGAGCTCGAGCGCCTTGAGCGTGCTGGTAGGGTTGGGGGAGGGGGGAAAGGTGGGAGGGGGAAGGGGGAAGAAGGCGAAAGGGGGGAGAGAGCGAGGGGGGGGTGAGGTCACAGAGGAAAGATGATGTGGAGAAAGGTGAAGAGGTGTTGCAGGTTTTTTTTTTAAGAATTCTCAAAAAGGCGAATAGGTGTGTGGTACACAATGGTCGAAAATTGTGATGAGTGGAAACAGAAACCACGGCGATCTCACATGTAGTAGGCACAGGACGAAGCTTGAATGTGCGCGAATCTACTTGAATAAGACACAGATATTAAACAAAAACTAGCAAAATGAATCCGAGCACTCACCGGCACTGTGCACTGAACGTCCTCCATCCATTATCCGTCACCCCCTCGCATCCCACGAGGCTCAGCCGCTCCAGCTGCGAGCATCTCGATCCGACGGCCAGCAGCAGCTCATCGCCAACCGTCGATTTCCCTCGATCGTTGATCACGGAGAGATCCTCGAGAGCCGAGCATCGCCGAAGCAGCGATTCGAGAATCTGGGCATGGGGAGTCCTCTGGCGGGCCTTGTAGGTCAGGTTGCGGCGAGAACAATTTTCGAGTTCGCGAAATCGCGAACATGCGAGAGCTACGTTTCGTCGATCGGCGGGATTTTCGAGCTGACGTACGATAGACGTCAGCACCTCGTCGGGGAGATCGAGGATGAGACCAGCCCCGCGCCGCTTCATGGTTCTGATGGAGAAGCCCCACGCTGATTCAGATTACTCTCTTACAGAAATAAAGGGCGACTTCGAGATTCAGAGAGGAACAGAAAAAAACCCGCCTCGTAATATTCCGGCGCTAGACCTAACAACGAGTGTCATACTCTCCCTAGCAACGCATCCGTACCGACAGCAGAGGCGCGTTGAGCGGTGGCAATTCGGAGCTCTCAATCCTGGTCTGGATAGCACCAGACCCGTCAAATGTTGGCACCAGGCTTTGGATTGGCTCTGTATCAGAAATATTTCCGCCAAAGCACAATTATTTAGTGAGATATCCGTAGTACACATTTAGTTACACACGAGCACCAGTGTTATGAGTTGTACTAAGAAGAGTGCGCGGAAGACTTTATAAAAGGATGTCGAATACAGAATGTAGAAGAGGCATGCATTTTTAGGATCGAAACCGTGGTAGGCGAGGACCTCGGGACGTGGATGGGTTGGAAGTGTCGTGATTGGTGCGGGGCGACTCGGCAGTGGTTCGGTCCGAAGTGTAGGCCGAACCTCGACACTGTCGCGAAATTCTCGGGGTTGTCCTCGCTAGGAGCAGCCTCTACAGAAGTGAATTCGTATTCATTACAACCAGAAACAGAGAAAAATTGTTATTGTAGAAACAGCCTCACAGCTAAAGACAGAATAATAAAAAGGCTTCGAGCATTGGCAAGAAAAGCTAACTTGATGGATGCACCACACATGGCTCGCCCAAGACTGCTGCATAAGGCCTTCAGCGCAGCAACCGTATCGGAATATTGGAGAGAAAAAAAAGGATGCCAACAAGGCAAAAAGAAAAACCACAATGCTCAACACGGCCTTGCGCGGCACACCGGCAACAGAAGCTTCCGATCTGGGCCTGCGTAAATTGATCTGTGCTGATGAAATCTGCATTGCCTCAGGCCGGCACATGAAGCTTTGTCTCCTGCCCCTTTCGCTCCTCCCCTCCACTGCCCTTCTCCCCAATCTCTACTGCAATCCATCTCTACCGCACTCAGCCCCATATGTATTCCATCAATCTCATATGCCCTCTGTCCCTCTTTCTCCGGTTCGGCACTAGCAGCCAGCTACAGCTGGACCGGAAGCAGCGGAGAAAAATCGGGGAGACGAGAACAAAAGGCACACAGACGCGCATGCAACCACACACACACACACAACCACACATGCACGCCGGCACACACTCTGCTCGGCCCACATGAGTGGTGGTGCCAAAACAGGAAAGCTCAAACGGTTGCTTACTGCCTCTAGTAAAACACCCTGTGTGAGTGGTGCTGTGGGAGTGTGCTGAGTGGTGAAATGAACTTCCCGGGGGAGCAACATAACAGGGTGCAGTTTGCAGTGCAGTGTGCTTGTCAAAACCACGTGCTGCTGCCGTGGGGGGTAGTGCTGGTGTGGGTGCTCCTGTGCCTGCTCTGCTGCCCCTGTAAAGGCTGCTTCGTTAAAAAAAGGGCGTGCTTCAGTAAAAGGATTTGTCACTTGAGATGGCTGGGAGGGCTCTTTTGCCGGCCCAGGAACTCATAGTTGATCTCAGCCAGTTGGGAGAGGTTCTGCAAGAGAATATGAAAGGGGGAGAGCATAGGGAGGAAGGGAGGGAGGGTAAGGAGCAGAGTGAGAGACGAGAGCATGTACTTTGGAGGGCTGTGAGAAAGGGCATGGGATGAAAAGAACTTGCTACACGGCTCAAGACTCGGAAAGACGGCTGTGAGAGAGGGCATGGGGCACCACGCGCCAACACACACACAATCATAGAAAAACCAATGCACCCGCGTACGGCATGAGTGTAAACCAGCCCATGCCCCAAAAGTAGCAACAGAGGTGACTTTTGAGCCGACTCAAACGGCACGAGTGTAAACCAGCCCATGCCCCAAAAGTAGCAGCAGCAGAAGCAGCATCAGCATCCGGATCCTCATCAGACTTTTGAGACGTCTCAAAAGCCATCAGCAGCGCCGGCATTAGCATCACCATCACCACCATCATCACTGTCACCATCAGCATCACCATCACCACCACCATCACCATGAGCATGAGCATGAGCACGGACCTTGAAGGAGAAGTTGGTGAAGGCAGCAGCGACATTGTCTGAGAAGTTCCTCATGTCCCCGGGCTCGTCCCCCTGCCACCCACCACCACCACCATGCAGCACAACACACACAGCACAGCAGAAGAATGCAAACCCAGGGAGAGACATAAACACGGGCACACAGGTGAGTCCCCATCCACTCCCACACTCCTTCAGACAGAGAAACATTTTCTACCACTCCGGTCATCCCCCCTCTACTCTCGTTCTCACTCTCGCGCGCCCTCACCTGCTCGCCCCCCCCCCCCTGCCCTCACCTGTACGCCCGTCATCCGCCAATGAGCTGCTGCAGGCGTCACCTGCTTTCCCCACAGCCTCCCTCACCTAGCGCTCTTAGTGCTCTCACCTGCTCCCTCGCCTCATGGCCTCACCGGCTCCCGGTCACCGCCTCACCTGCTCGCCCTGGTAAAAGTCGTCTGCAGACGTGCTGCTGCAGGCGTCGCTGCTGGCGCTCTCGCTCTCGCCCATGCCCATCGCCATGTTCCCCCCGTCCATGCCGCCCGGCTCCTGCTGCCACCCGCGCGTCAAAAAGTACCCCGTGTCGTGCGGGTTGTCTGGGCTTGGCACAAACACCGCCTGGAGGATGAGTGGGGGCGACAGGGAGAGGGGCGAGTGGCCAGGGGCGGGATGCAATGGGAATGAGGGAGGGAGAGGGGCAAGAGGGACGTACAAACGCCTCTGTAGCAAGGCGCAAGCAGAGAGGAAGAAGAGACATAGCATTTGCACATGGCACATGGCACACGGCACGTAGCGCACACACATGAGCCCACGCAGCCCCATCCCCACCTGCTCCTGCGCGAGCGTCTCCCAGCGGATGCCGTCAAAAAAGGGGTGCGCCTTCACCTCTTCTGCTCCCCTCGCTCCCAGCCGCAGCGACGGCTCCGGATGCAGCAGCCTGGCAGGGGGTTCAAAGAGAGGGGGGGAGGGGTTGACGGGTGAGAGCCGGACTAGTTTTTAGGCGCCTCAAAACTAGACTCCGGATGCAGCAGCCTGATGGCAGGGGGTTCAAAGAGAGGGGGGGAGGGGTTGACGGGTGAGAGCCGGGCAGCGCGAGGAAGGAGCCGATGACGCATATTCCACTCTACGCATAGCATACATAATGAACATAAACAGAAATGTACCTGCCGTGCCAGAAGAATGTGCGAGCTAGCTAATTCTCCCTGCAATAAACATCGGCCTCGCTCGCTCTCCCTCTCAAGGACACAGGCTTTAAGAGGCAAGCACACATACTTATCAACGAGGTCCATGGCCTCGTAGAACATCTCATCAGGCACCTCCGGGCTCCCTCAACAAGGTGAATGCGCATGCGTGTGTGCTTTGCTTTCTCTCTTACTCACACAAGGACATACAGCGGAAGCAAGCAAACGTACTTGTCAATGAGGTCCATGGCCTCATAGGACATCTCCTCAGGCACCTCCGGCCATGGAATGTCTCGGTTCAGAATGTTGTCAAATATGATCTGCACGCATTGAGCCGGGAGGGATGGTTGGAGAGAGAGCATGAGCATGCCTGTGTGCGTAGGCATGTGTGTGTGCATGTGTGTGTGTGCGGGTGCAGGAGTCACCTAGAAACCACAAGAGCACAAAACCAGCAGGTCACGGCCCTCTTGCAGGTCACGGCCCTCTTGCAGGTCACTCACCTCTGGAGAGGGCGCGTTGAAGGGAGGAACACCGCAGAGCAGCTCAAATAGCATCACTCCAACAGCCCACCAATCCGCCGTGGCACCTGCACAGGGATGACACGAGGAGGGAGGTGGGGCGAGACAGAGAGAGAAAGGAAAGAGTGTGGATTAACAGTGGAGCGGCAGTAGGATGGGAAGCGAATGCTGTGTGTGCTTGTGTGGTAACACCAGCTCGCCACCATGTCATGTCTGATCCCAAGCCCATCAACCCATACCCATCATCATGCCCACCCCCATCCACCGAAACCCACTCCTACCCACCACAACCCATCCCCACCCACCATGGCCCATCCCCACCCACCACAACGCATCCCCACCCACCACAACCCATCCTCACACACCATGGCCCGTGCCGAGCAGAATCTCCGGAGCAAGATAGTCCGGAGTGCCCACCGTCTGCTCCTTCTTCTTCTCCACATCCGCCGACGCACTCCGCCCGGCACCCTGCAACGACTCCACCTCAGCCTTCCACGCAGGTGACGCCGATCCGCCCCCCATCCCCCCCGCACCTCCCCCTCCCCCTCCCACACTACCCGCCCCTCCGCCGCCCACCATCCCCACACCGCCCGGAACCCCCGAAAACGGCGAAGTGCGGCCGGAAGAGGACGACGGGCGGGACGACGCGCCGGACGGCGCGGGCGGGAAGTCTGCCGCCCGGTCCGCCGCCCAGAGAGGCGACGTGGGGATAGACGCCGAGACAGACGCGCCGGAATCTATCGACCCGGATTTGGGGAAGCCGAGGGCGGCTGGGGGGTGGGCAGAGGCTGAGAGGGCAGCTGCAGCGGCAGCAGCGGAGGCGGAAGCAGAGGCGGCAGCAGCAGCGGCGGCGGCGGTGACGTTGGGGGAGGGGGGCTCGGAGAGTCCTGTGGTGGTGAGAGGGCCGATGGCGAAATCGCCCGTGCTGTTGAATAGACCCATTTGGGACAGCCCAAAGTCCGTCAGCTGTGGGGGAGGGAAGCAGCGCGGAGGGAGAGGAAGGAAGAGGAGAATTTGGATGAGCTGGACGAGGATGCAACGCAGGGGCAGCAGGCAGTGAGCAGCAGGTACGGCCCGCCTTGGCATGGCAACACGCTCACTGTGACATGGCAGCGCGCTCACCGTGTCACTTTCAAGAATGCTTTTTGAGAAACCTTCGGAGATTCTCAGGGTGCGCTCACTTTGACAAAGCAGGCTTGCATTGCTCACCTTGATGTGGCCGTCGTATGCGATGAGGAGGTTGTCGGGCTTGAGGTCCCGGTGGATGATGCCACTCGCATGCAGATGCTCCAATGCCAACACCTAATGGTGGTGGGGGTGAGGGGGGGGGGGCGAGAGAGAGGCAGGGCATGTTTGGGGTAGTGGGATGGCATGGTGTGTGCAGTGGGATGGCATTCATGTGCGGGCAGAGTGCAGGCACGCGCAGGCAGGGCAGGGAAGGGCAGGGGTGAGCAGGAGACATCCCAGTACAGCAATGTAGGCCTTGGTCATGGGCTCCTCAAAACAGCCAATGTTCTAATAATTTGGACCACGACTCACAAAGGACTCGGAGGATTGGAGGCAGCAAGGCAGGGCAGGGCAGGGCGCATGAGGGCAGGGCAGGGCTCATGAGGGCAGGGCAGGGCACGTACGAGTTCGGCGATGTAGGCGCGGGCCATGGGCTCCTCGAGGCAGCCGAGGTTCTGCAGCAGCGAGAAGAGGTCGCCCCCGTTGAGATACTCCATCACCAGATAGAGGTTCTCCCGACACGTGAACGAATAGAAGCAGCGCACCTGGGGGCAGGGGCGAGAAGGGCATGGTAGAGACGTGGGTGTGCATTAAGGCGCACGCATGTGGGGTGAATCGATGGGTACCAAAGAGCATCAGGGCGGAGGGGGTGTGCATGGAACATGGCGGTGCACAGCACAGCGATAAACAATCGCGTTTACCATACAACAACGTCGCATGGGGAAACAGCAAGGCATGCGTGCCACAGCAGGGCATGCGTGCCACAGCAGGGCATGCGTGCCACAGCAAGGCATGCGTGCCACAGCAGGGCATGCGTGCCACAGCAGGGCATGCGTGCCACAGCAAGGCATGCGTGCCACAGCAGGGCATGCGTGCCACAGCAGGGCATGCATGCCACAGCAGAGCATGCGTGCCACAGCAGGGCATGCGTGCCACAGCAGGGCATGCGTGCCACAGCAGGGCATGCGTGCCACAGCAAGACATGCGTAGCGTACCACGAAGGGGCTGCGCACGGAGGCGAGGATGTTGCGCTCTGCCTGCACACTCTCCACCGCGTTCTTGCGCACCATGTCCGCCTTGCGCAGCACCTGGTGTGCACACACACGGAATGGGACAGGGGAGCCACAGAGGCAGCACAGGGGAGTCAGATATTAACCTCGGAAAGACGCTTTTGACTCTGCCTGCACACTCTCCACCGCATTCTTGCGCACCATGTCTGCCTTGCGCAGCACCTGCCACGAATGATTCAAACGAGGAGTGCAAACAGAACTTAAGATTCAACGCGCGTCTAGGGAACCCCTTATTTCTTCATCCCCTCTATCCACTCCCTGCCTCGCCAGCTGACACATGGACAGTGGTGCCACACGGCCAACACCCACCCATGCACCCACCCATGCACCCACCCATGCACCCACCCATGCACCCACCCATGCACCCACCCATGCACCCATCCATGCACCCAGCCATGCACCCAGCCATGCACCCAGCCATGCACCCAGCCATGCACCCAGCACCCGCCCACCCACGCACGCACCTTGATGGCAAAGAGGTCCCCCGTGGTCTTCTTCTTGGCCAGGAACACGCGCCCATACGCGCCCTTGCTGATGGGCTTGATCAGCTCAAAATCATCTATCGTCGTGCGATCCCGCCCCGCCGCCGAAGCCGACGACGACGACGCAGCCACACCACCACCGCCGCCGCCACCACCACCACCAGGGCCACCAGCACCACCAGCAAAACCACCAATGCCGCCGCCACCGATGCTGCTGCCGCCGCCCATAGAGGCGTTGGGCGGGGTGCTGCGGGCGCTGCGGGAGAGGTTCAATACGTCCTCTCCGTCCTCGTCCGCATATTGCATCGCCTCGCCCCCATCTGTCCCCCCGTAGCCTCGCAGTGCACTGCCTGCTGCCGCGCCCATCTGGTGGTCCAGGATGTCCCTCAGGCGGTAGTACTTCTCCCTGGCAACATGGGAGGCACGCAGGAAGGGGGGGGTCACGGAGGTGTGCGGATGGGAGGGAGGAAAGAAATTTTGAGTTGACCCACTGCTGCGCCCATCTGGTGGTCCAGGATGTCCGTACTTCTCCCTGCCCATCCCACAGGGGAGCAGTGCAGGGCAGGAAGGGGAGAGGAAGGGGAGGAGAGGGATGTGAGGAGAAATGAGCGAGGAGGCGGGAATTGAAGAGAGAAATGACAGGCTGTAGCGCCCATCTGGTGGTCCAGGATGTACTGCAGGCGCTAGTACTTCCCCATGTGCAACAGAGGAGACGCGATGCGCAGAAGGGAGAGTGGAGAGAGGAGAGTGAAGTGCGGGGATGGAAACAGGAGCTAGCACTAATGAACTGCGATAAGAGCACCTCAGGGCAGGCGTTTGAGTCGAATCAAATCAAACGCCATCAAGCAAGTAAGCAAGCACGAACACACACACGAGCAAGCAAGCACACTCACTGCAGCAGCTTGGTGATGCGGCGGCCGAACACGTCAATGGTGAGGAAGCGCGCGTCGTTGGTGCGCAGCAGGTCCGTGAGGTCCCTCATGTCTGTCAGCAGCAGCTCCTCTGGCTTGTCGTCCTCCAGTGACACATCTGCCACGTCCTGTGCTATGTCCGCTAGGTCGTCCATCTGAGGGGTTGAGAGGTGTTGGGGGGTAGGGTAAGCAGCCACGGAGTGACAGGCGCAAAGGCACAGAACACGAGAGAGAGAGAGAGAGACTTGAAGTCGACCCTCACGTCTTCCCTCTAGCGAATATCAACCAGGCGATGGAATCCATCAGACTTGAAGTCGACCCACACGTCCGCCACGTCCTGGGCTATGTCCGCCAGATCTTCCATCTACGGGCGGGGGAATAGGGTGAGGGCACGCCGCACACGAGACAGGTGGCCAAGGGAACGAGACAGGGAGGGCTTGTCAGCCCCATTCTTCAATCTAACAAATAGCCTACAAGTACTCCCAACCAACACAGGACTCACCAGGGCGATCTCCTCTTGAGCCACCATGTGGATGTGCTCCTCCATTACCTCCCTCCCGCCTCCCGCCAGAGCACTCTTCAGCAGCGACGACCCGGGGCTCCCATACACCCCATGGCCGTCCCCTCTCGTGCCTGCAGATCCTGCCGGCGACGTGGGCATGGGGGAGGCCGTGCCCGCGGATAGGAACCCGCTGGTGGAGGTGGCGCCGCTCATGCTCGTCACTGCGCTCATGGACGGCTCGTACTGGGAGCCCTCCTCGCCCGCTGCCTGCAGCTGCTGTTGCTGCTGCAGCTTGTGCTGCTGCTGCTGCTGCTGCTGCAGGTGGTGGCTCACGTACGACCAGTTGGACACGTTGTTGCTGCTGCCCCCTGCGCCCTGATGCTCTGGGTGATCCTCTGTGGGGCTTATCGGAACACCAGGGTGCAACGACCCGTTCTCTCTGCTGCAGTGCTCAGCTGCGTCTTGCTCGCGCATCTGTTGCTCCTCTCCACTGTACCCATCCGTCCCCTCCCCTTCTCCTTCTCCTTCTCCTTCTCCTGCGCCACCTTCGTCTCCTTCGCGCATGTCTGCATGAGACACCATACTGCTGCCCAAGGGAGACAGGAACCTGCCACCACCCTGCTTCGCCCCTGCACCTCCCCCTACCCCCCCCATCGACCCCACGTGCTGGGAATGCGAATCCAGCCCCGCGGGTACCCCTGACGAGGCCGCCCCGCCAGCAGCAGACGACGAGTTGGACGGCACTCGTTGGAACGACATGGCGCCCAGCCGCGACACCTGCTCGTTCGAGATGTGATCCAGGCCGTCCGCTAGCCGCCTCAGCCGATCGTCAATCGAAAACTGCGCCGAGTCGCACCGATTCGCGAGCGCGCACAGCCGCGAGTGCTCCTGTAACTGCGTAACATTCACCTCCTCTTCACAAATACGACAGATCACCACACACTCCTGCTCCCCCTCGTTCGGAACCATCCCATCCATACCCTCCTCCTCCTCGTTCTCCCCCTTGCCCCAGTACCCGTACTTATACTGCACTCTTCGCCCCGACACAGATCTCATCATTGCTTTCTCATGCAAATCATCAAAGTCCTCTGCAAGGTTACCCGAGGGAGAAGGCGGCTCTCTCGCCCCCCCGTGCCTCCGGCTCTCCATCCGCTCGTCCTCCCCGCTTGGCACCCGCACGTCCCACGCTCTGCTGCTGCGCCCCTCGCCTCGTCTGTGCGCCTTCTCCGACTCCCCCTCCCGCCGCACGTCCCCCTGCCCCTGCCGCGCCCCACCCTGTCCCCCCTTCCTCCCCTCAACTCCCTCACTCCCCTTAATTCCCTCCTGCGGAATCGCCATGCTCGCTTCCGCCATGCTCGTGTCCCCCGCCTCGCCCCATGCTCCGCCAGTTCCTGCTGCCCCTGCGCCAGCTCCCGCGGATAGGGCTGCTGCAACCCCGGACTCCGCTCCTCCCGCTGCGCCTAACGCTGCACCTAGCGCCGCCGCTACCTCTGCGTCTGCCGCTGGGCCCATCTCCCGAACCGCCGTTCCCGCCGGTGCTGCCGCCGCTGCTGCAGGCGCCAGCGACGGCGCAGAGTCGCTTGATCGGGAGCCGGAGGCCTTGTCACGCGCGGATTGGCTACGAAAGGCGCGCTGAATCTCCTCCTCCTTGCGGATCTCCGCCACCCGCCCCCACAGCAGCCCCCGCGCGCTCGTGGACCCGTGTACCTCCGCGTCAACTGGCGGAGCGGGCGAACCCGCCATGTGCGCCTGCTGTGCCCCCATGAGCACGTCCGCGCCCGGCGCGAGCATCTGCGCCTGCTCTTGCGCCAGCGCCTGTGGCTGCAGCAACTGTTGCTGCAGATCCTGTACGTGCTGCTGCGGCACCCCGGATTGCACCTGATCCTCCTGCTGCTGGGCGTGCTGCTGCGGCTGCTGCGGCTGGAACAACTGCTGCAGCCATCCCTGCTCCCCACTCGTGCTCGCCAGAGACACGTCTCCTTCCTCCCGTCCATCATCCGACAACCGTTTACTCTGCATAGGCGATGCGGACATGGTTGCGCCGCTGCCCTTCCTGCCCGCACTCTTGTCCCTCCCTTTCTCCGCCTTCTCCTTGCCCTTATCCATTTTCTCCTTCCCTTTCTCTTTTTCCTTCCCCTTCTCCTTCTCCTTCCCTTTCTCCTTCTCCTTTCCCCTTTCCACCTTATCCTTCCTCGCCTCCTCCATCTCTGCTGCTTCCTCCTCCTTAACCGATGCCAATAGCTCCTCGAGTTTCCCACTAACCATCCGAACCAGATTCGTCACTCCGCCAATCAACCCACCAGACAGCTTCTTCTTCGACGAACTGAGCCCCGAACCTGAGCCCGAGCCTAATCCCAAGCTCGAGCCCAAGCCCGACGAGCCAGAAGGCGCAAGTTGGCTGGAGGAGCTCGAACCGAAACCTGATACCGAGCCTAATCCCGACCCTCCATCAGCACTCGACCCTGCACCAAGCCCGGACCCAAAACCTGTTCCGAACCCAAATCCGAACCCAGTACTCGCGCTCGCACTCGCACTCACGCTAGCGCTATCCTCTTGATTGAAATCCCCGCCGGGAACGTAGGTACCGTCGTCTAAAGCCCCTCTCATCTCCGCCACCGCGGCACTCCAGTCGTCCATCATATTCGACTTGCTCTTGCTCCGCTGCTTCCCCTCATCCTTGCGCGCGCCGAACCCCAGCCCCGCGGCCCCCTTCTGTTCCGCTTTGGGGTCGCGCACCCGCCAGTCCGCCGGTGCGGGGCACGAGTCCCACCGGATGATCGACCGCTGCGGCGGTTGCTGCGGCTGCTGCTGCTGCTGCCGCTGCAGCCGCCCCTTCTCCGCCGGTAACTCCGCAGGGTGCTCCGTGGAGTGGCCCGCGGGGAGCTCCGCGGGACGTTCCGGCGGCTTTGACACCGTAAACGAAGAGAAGTGAGTCGCCGCCATGGACGCTTGCGATCGAAGCGTCGACGGCAAGCCAGGCGGGCGGTTACGAACCATCGGCGTCGCTAAGACCTCCGCGCCCCTATACGGCCCCCCGTACACTCCCCCGTACGGCATCTCCGCCTCCGCTTCCTTCTGCGACTGCAGCAGGCGCGTGCAGCGCGTGAGAATAAAGAGCATTTTCATGTGCAGCTGCTTCAGGGTTCCCATGGGGAGCTGCTGCCGCGCCATATTCAAATCGTGCACGATATCCTCGCACGCCGATCCGAACTCGTCTGCGTGCATTCGAAGGCATTTCTCAGCTAGGTCTTTAAGATAGAGCGCCCCTTGCTCCCATCTAGACGATTCCGGCGACATCAAAAACGACGTGAACGTTGACGGGTAGGCGTTAGTGGGAGAGACAGGCGACTTGGGAGGCGTTCTGGGCGGCGCGGCGCCTGGGAGGTTCAGCCGCTTGGCGATGTCGCTGATGAACACGCGAAGCTCGTCGTCGACTTTTTTCTTCGCGTATTCGAGTGCTCGTTCGAGATTGCTCATTGACCCGTCCTGCCTCGCGGAGCAACGCCAGGGGGAAGGAAATGGAGCAACGCGGGAGGAAAGAAAATGGAGCAACGCGGGAGGAAAGGACACGGAGCAACGGGGAGGAAAGGACACGGAGCAACGGGGAGGAAAGGACACGGAGCCTCGCGGGAGGTGACATGGAGCAAAACGAGAGCCAAGCACGCGGAGAGACACACAAAACTCACAACCATGTGAGCCAGTTGAAGGAGCCTGGAGGCGTGTGGATGGAAAGAGCAAGCAAAGGCAGGGACAAAGCAGCAAGCAACCTGGCACAACCCTCAACGAGAGAACCAACCAAGCAGCAATGCGCCTTACGCTGACGTCGAGGTGCGACACACGAATGCTGGGCCGTTGCGACGACATCGCCATGGGGTGCGCCTTGCCCGGCGTCATGTGCTTGTGCCCGCCGGTCGTGCGGTTCAACGAGCTGATGCTCTCGAGCATGCTAAAGTCCATGCTCAACGGCATGCCCGTCATTACCTGGAATTGATTTCAAGGGTCGAAACAATTGCACAAAACGGAAACACTTTGGAAAGCCTCAGTGGTGGTAATGAGATGGAGAGGATGCGAACAAGTGATAAGGAACCCTAGGCGACGTCGGCAAAAGTAACACGCGACCGAGTACACGGATTCGACGAGCGTGCAAATCGGGGAACGGCAAAACGTTCTCGAAACGGACAGACGATGATGGACTAAGATAAAAAAAAAAAAAAAAAAAACACACGGAGGAGGATTATAACGGGGATGGGAACGAGGTTAGGAACGCACATCGGAGAGGCCTGCGGAGAGAGGATGCATCTGGGAGAGGCCGTTGTGACCCATTCTTAGCGATTCCGCTCTCGAACCGGGATCGGCCATGGACATTCCGTTGCTCTCGCGCGAATGAGCCAATCCGCTACCCTCCCTCGACTTATCCAGTCGCAAGGCCTCAAAGCTGGCTTCCAGACTAGGGTTAAGCTCCCGTGCTCTGTCTGGTCTCAGTAGCGGACTCACGTCCCTCTCCCTCTCGCGGTTCCGACTCGTCCCTCGCGGCGTCGACAGCACGTCATGGTAAGGGTTCGGCATTTCGTGCTTCGACGGCCGCTGAGGATTCAGCGACCCCGTTCTTTCCAGCATCGTTCCTATGCTCTCGGAAACTATCCTGCTGATTTTATTCTACAGCTAGCAACAGCGAGGAAATTCATTGAAAGAACATCCCAGAAGCTTTGTAGCTTCCCTTCCGTGCCGTGACCGTCTCCAGCTACCAACGGACCCTCCGTGATCACACGGTCCCAAGTGGGTCTCGAAATCTCGTTTTAGCTGTTGACGCAATCGCACCACTGTTCCCCACAATCACACACAAAACCTGTTGGAAGCAGCCAGAGCCTGAGCGGCTGTTGGAGCCATGGAATGGAGTGAAACCCTAGAATGGAATCAGCAAAGAGAAGGGTCCGTCCGTCGCAAGGAATGTATGGGATGATGGGGGTGGTGGTGGGAATGGGTGAGGCAAAGCTCACAGGGGGGGAGGAGGTGGGAGTGAGTGGAGGGATGCACACCAAACCTAGGGAACTGCGTGCGACAAAGTCCGGCACACTGCAATCAAGCGTACAAGGGAAGCTGTGATACACACTGATATCATCCTTTCCTTGCCTGGTGGTAGCCTTGAAAGCTGCGTGCGACGTAGTCTGGGCAGTTTTGAGTGTGTAGGGCTGATGTGACCTTGAATATAGTCGCTTTGGACTGGGAGTTGCTGTGCTGCGCGTCGCACACTAGCGCTTGACTGACGAGGCATGTGCATCACACTGTCATCGTCACGCGTGGTCGCACAGCCAGTCGCAGTGCCATCATCGAGGAAATGATTTGTGCGACATGGGCACGTGTGGAAGGATCTGTGTCCATCTGGAAGGCCAACATGAGCTTCTCCGTCAGCAGTGAGACGCGATTCCCAAGAACGGCGCGCAAAAACCTCGACCAAAACCTCCATAATGTGACAGCTCACAGTGTTTGATGAATGCGGCTACAAATTTCTCAAACATTGCATTCATCACATTTATTTACAAAGTACAAAACATTGCCTTCACATCACATAGCGATAACTTTTACCGCAGTCCAAACCAAACATGTTAGTCCATAGTTTCATCCTCGTCGTCATACATCCTCCTCTCAGGTGGAGTGGCATCCACATACTCATCTTCATCACCAATACCTTCACACATATCCTCACCCAAACGCCCTCGAACACACCCCCCTGCCCTATCCTCCATTTCGTCATCCTCCGTATTTTCAATCCAGCGATCCGGATCTCTCTGAAGTGGAGGTGCTTCTGCGCCGTGCCCAATAATCCATGAAAAGAGTTTGTGGATGTATAACACAAAGGGAAAGCTGGAAATGATGAGGCACTTCTGGAAAACTGGAGCGCCGGCATGAGAGGTGAGGTGCAGCAGTTAAAAACGAAACTCCAAACCTCCAGCGCTGGAACCGGCAGCAGCGGCATGGGGGAATTTGATTATCAAGGGGAAGGAAAAGGGTACAAAAGATGACTCACGTTGATGTGGTGCTGCTAGCCTCCCAGGGGTGGATGCCTCCGTGGGCATGAATCGGGCAGCAGACACATCAGCAGCACCGCCAGTCACCATGCCAATCCCATCCACACTACCCCCAGTGTTGCATCCACCAGCAACACCGCCACCGCCACCGCCACCGCCACCGCCACTACCGCCTCGTGATGCCGCTGCCAGCCGACCAATGGGAAGCTCCTCGGTGGCGTCCTCGCTGTCTAGAACCTGATTGGCTGCCAGCTTTTGTTGGTACTGATCGTGCTGTTGCTGCCGTTGATCCTGCTGCGCATGGCCTGGAAGTGGTTGTTGCTGCTCCCTGGGCCACATGCTGCTTCCTCTTCGCCCTCTGCCACTCCCCTCTCCTCCACCCAGACCTGCTGAATCCGCACCAGGCCTGTGTGCTGTGCCTTTCGCCCCTGCTATGAACCCACACAGGGAGAATTGAGGAGCATTTTGCGTAATGCACGGGTGGAAATGCATGGCGATTGAAAAAAAAAAAAGTTTTAGTTTTAGGTGTGTAAGGAAAAAGCACGTGAATTAGCAGCGTATGCCCAGAAGACCATTCGCAAGATACATTGATCGCATTGTTTTGGCAAACATCAGAGATCTTGGCTCACAATACCTGAGAGGTCTGACCATACCTGAGAGGTCTGACCATCGCTTTCCATGCGCCCAGCCTGCTTCCAGCCTTGCTCCTGCACCTGGATCCTTCAACGGAACCTTCTCAGCACCTTCCTCGCCCCTCATCTCATCCGCTCCCTCTTCTTCGCCTTCACCCATCCCTCCTCCTCCTCCTGGATCTTCTCTGCAGCCCGAACCAATTGGATAGGCTTGGTGAGGATCTGCTCCCGAACCTGCATGACAGGATCGCTGGGAGCCTGAAGCTGCAACTGTAGGAGTTCCGGCTTCGGCTGAGGTTCGGGAAGCCAAGCCCTTGTGAACAGGAGCGCCAGCTTCGGCAGATGCTTGGGGAGTAGCTGCGGCTTGGTGAGCAGGAGTGGCAGGTGTGCCAGGTTGGGCGGAGGCTCGGTGAACGGAAGGGTCGGAAGGGGGGGGAGTGGGGAGCTGGGATTCAAGCATTGTGGCGATCACAAGGCGTGAGTCAAAGTCAGACGCGAGTGGTGCATGCGCATGGCGGGGGTTGCGAGTGGGGGTGGTGTGCGGGTTGGGAAATCTTGGCATGAGCATGAGAGGGCTGCAGGACACACAGTAATCCAGTGATGGCAGCGGGGAGGGAGGGGCGAGTGGGGGAGGATAGAGGTGAACTGAATAAGGGTTACACAAGTGAATTGGGACAGTGGGGTTTGGAAGGGCGAGCAGGGGGGAATATCTCACAATACCTACAGTAAATCAACAACTCTCAAGGAAACGTGTTCAACGATATCCACGCCACGGGTCTGGGCCTGATGACTCTAGAGCAGCACTCATGCTCTGGCTCGATGGAAGAGCATCACCACGTCTGCTGCTGCTGACTCACAGGACTGCACAAATGCCTGGTGGCGAGGAAAGAGGATGTGGAAAGGCCTGGGCCTGATGACTCTAGAGCAGCACTCACGCTCCGGCTCAATGGAAGAGCATCACCACGTCTGCTGCTGCTGACTCACAGAACTGCACAAACGCCTGGTGGCGAGGAAAGAGGACGTGGAAAGGCCTGGGCCTGATGACTCTAGAGCAGCACTCACGCTCCGGCTCGATGGAAGAGCATCACCACGTCTGCTGCTGCTGACTCACAGAACTGCACAAACGCCTGGTGGCGAGGAAAGAGGACGTGGAAAGGCCTGGGCCTGATGACTCTAGAGCAGCACTCACGCTCCGGCTCGATGGAAGAGCATCACCACGTCTGCTGCTGCTGACTCACAGAACTGCACAAACGCCTGGTGGCGTGGGAAGGGGCCATCGAAAAACGAAGAGGAGTGTGGGGGGAGGGGAGGGTGGGGTGGGGGGAGTGTGGGGGGAGGGGAGGGTGGGGTGGGGGGAGTGTGGGTGTGAAGCAGGAGGGAAGGCGATTGCCCATGTGGGTGGCTGTACACATCAAAGCGCTCCACTCCACTTCCACCCGCCCAACACACCACACCATCCTCCCATTCCCCACACCCCATTCCCCACACCCCCATGCTCCTCTCACCTTCACCTCCTTCGCGCTGAAAGTAACGTCCACCGGATCCCCCCGTGGCAAAACGCCTAAAACTGTTCCCCAGGGTCGACCCACCAAACGCACCACACCACACAACACCCGTATCCACCTCTCTTTTCCGCCACCCTCCCATCCCCCGCGCTCCCCTCACCTTCACCTCGTTCACACCGACAGTAACGTCCACTGCATCCCCGGCATGGCAGAACGCCTCAAAGTGCTCCCTTGAATCCAACCACCAACACACTACACACCACACACCACACACTACACACCACACACCACACTCCCATCCACCTCACCCCTATCCCCCACACTCCGAATCAACACGGCCGTCTCACCTTCACCTCCTTCACGCTGAAAGTGACGTCCACAGCGTCCCCCCTGTGGCAGTACGCCTCAAAGTGCTCCCCAGGGTCCACCCACAGCTGCGTGTGCATCGCTGCTTCCGGGGACGCCTCCAGCCGTCCGTCTGCTGACGAGCCTGCACAGGGACACAAGGCACGACGACGGAGGAGCACGAGGAAACGCACAGATCGCTTCAGGCTGATACATTCAGGGGCCGTATCACCCACCCACAGCTGCGGGTGCTTCGCTGCTTCTGGGAACGCCTCCAGCCTCCCGTCCGCTGACTGAATAGCAAGGCAGTCAGTGTGTCACGGGGAGCAAGGCACCCGTACACTGAATGTGAAGAGCCTGTACGGGGGGCAAGGCAGCGCACAGAGGAGCAGGAGGCAGAAACGCTTTGAGCCAGTCACTGAAGTCACCTTGGCTGGTGGGCGTCCGTCTGTTAGCACGAGGAAGATGCAGTGGCAGGGAAGGCACGGAGTGGAGGAGGTGCAACTGCTTCTCACTGCTCCAATGCTTTGACACCCCACATGCACACATCGATGTGTCACACCCATCAGCAAGAGTGAGCTTGACATGCCATGCATCCACACATACCCACACATGCATGCGTCTGCGTTTCAACACACCCACCAGCAAGAGTCGGCTCCACGTAGCTCCTCATCTCAACCGCCTTAGCCTCACTCCCCCCTCCTCTCCCCGCCGCACCTCCGCCCGTGCCTGTTCCCGAGCCTGTCACGTCCTCAGGGTCGGCAGCAATGATGGTTATTTCAGAGAGCGTGGATTGAAAGTGGTTGAGCAGCTGCAGAAGGGCCTTGGGGCGGGCGACGAGCGAGGAGGGGTACGTGGACGGGTCGATGGACGCTGATAGCACCTCCCTATCGTTCACACATGCGATGGTGTATGTCTTGCGCATGCCTGGCGGGATGGGGAGAGAGGAGGGGAAGGGCAGGAAGGAAAAGGAAGGAGTGGACTTGAAAAAGTGCACTTGAGTTGACTGGAAGTTGGATGGACGCTGACAGCACCTCCCTCTCTCTCATTCACACATGCCATGGTGTATGTCTTGCGCATGCCTTCTCAGAGGGTGGTGAAAGGAGGGAGGGGAAAGGGAGAAGTGGCAAGAAGGAGTTCATTTCAAGTGGCACGGGGACAGAGAGCAGATCCCCGTCACTTGACATATGCAATGCGCCATTTCACCACTGGAGTTTGCTTTTCAAGGGCAAACCATTTTGGCCGCCCAGATCAGCATGCTGTTCTGGCAATCAAGCCGGAGGTTCTCCAGCCACCCCGCATACCCGTTTGGCAATCCAGTCTGACGATGTGGGGCTACCCGCTGTAAACACCCAGCATACCGTTTTGGCAGTCGATGATCCAGCGAATGTTGTCGGGCTCCTTGCCGTCCGCTGTGATGGTGAGGGTCCGCATAGCTGCAGGCGCCGTGCGGAACACCGCCAGTACTGACTGCTTCCCCCCCCCACCCCGCGTGCATTCACATGCACAACACATGCAGATGTGTTCGCACACCACATGCAATCACATGCTCGCACACACATGCAATCATATGCACACCACTTGCAATCATATGCTTGCACACACATGCAACCATATGTTCGCATGCACATGCAACCATATGCACAACACATGCAACCATATGCACACATATGAATACGAATACCCTCCTCTCTCTCCCCCAAAACACACCCACCAACACACACAGAAGCTTTGATGTAAAAAAGGAGTTATAAATACACAGAGACAGGCAATCAGGACAAAATATACAACACAATACTTAAAAAGTCATTCGGTTGCATTGCATCCAATGACAGCTTGGTGCAGAGCAACTTGAGTTGCTTTATCCAACTTGGCCTGCCTTGACAAGCTTGACTCACCTTGACGAGCGCGGAGCAGGAGCAGGTGGGATGGGAGAGGTGGAAGGTTTGAAAGTAGTCCGTGGCGAAGTTGACCACCAGGTAGGCCGTCTTGGCCGTGTTGATGCCTCGCAGTGACAACTGTGAGAAATGGATTAGGGCAGGCCGGAAGAGCTGAATGGAGTGAGGCTGATCACCTTTGTAGGTGTATTTTGAATCAATCTCAAGTAAGCCGTCTTGATTTCACGCATAGACAATTGCGACGATGGACAAGGCTTAGGTTATGATACAAAAAAAAAAATAACAGGCTGATAATGGCGAACACTGACTGTAAAGCTTCTCACAATATTGGACAGATCACGGCAGTTTTTGCGCTAATTTCAGCTTGCATCTGTACCTCGCTTCCACTTCCATACATGACTAGGTTCGGCAGCTTCACACAAAGGAGTGGCTTCCATGAGTGGCTTCCACATTCCCACTCAATAACCACCGTCGTTCACGTCGTACCTCCACAGGATCCACAGGAGTCGTTCACGTCGTACCTCCACAGGAGTCGTTCACGTCGTACCTCCACAGGATCCACAGGAGTCGTTCACGTCGTACCTCCACAGGATCCACAGGAGTCGTTCACGTCGTACCTCCACAGGAGTCGTTCACGTCGTACCTCCACAGGATCCACAGGAGTCGTTCACGTCGTACCTCCACAGGAGTCGTTCACGTCGTACCTCCACAGGATCCACAGGAGTCGTTCACGTCGTACCTCCACAGGAGCTGCAAGGAAGGTGATGTAATCGCTGTGAGCCACCTTGGCCAGGCACTGAACTGCTCGGCACAATCCACGGATCTGCTCGCCTGACAGCTGGCACTCCATGATTGGCGTGGATACGTAACGAGGATACGTATGAATCTTCTTCTGAACGGTTTTAAAAAAACCGTTAGGAAACAAAGTATGGATCTTCTCACCCGCTAGTTACTACGGCTCGCTACATATGTCTGCGTTTAAGAACGACAACGAGGAAGCGACACAAAAATCAGGCGGAATGAGCTGCTGTTATCGTCAGAAGCTACGAGTCTACGCGAGCGTTGGGCTGCCTCGTGACAGCATCTCCGCAGCAGCGACTGGAAAGCGAAACACGGATAACCCTCTGAAGTGTCACCCTCCGTGAACCATCATGAAAAGCTTCAGACGTTGCTACTTTCCCTCGCTCTCCCTCGGTATCAACGACTAAGCTCGTCCATCCTAAACTCATAGTCTCTGCTTGAAATTGAAGGAATCTATTAGAGAGCGTAGCGATAACGAGAGAGTTTCTGCTATGGGAATGATGTTGCGCCAGCAACTTGGTAGAGTTTCGGTAGCATTTGCCTCTAAGGACTTGGTGAGAATTGAAGTAGCATTTTGGACTTCACTAGGAACATAGAAAATATATATCAAACACACAAGCAACACAAACATATATAGGCAGGCGAGGGTTTCACAAGAGGTTGCGTGGGCGCTGCGAGTAACCCAACCCCACGAAAGTGGTGTGTGGGTGAGCGAACGCGCCTCGCCAATTTCTCAACCCAACTCAGCATCGACTTCTCGCTTCCATGCACACCACTCCACCAACCTAGCAAAGAGTGGTGCGACTCTCAAGGAAGCACCAACAACTCCCACGGACTCTCACTTCTTCATGCGACCTCCATCGAACTCATTCGTCGGTGCCGAGTAGACTCAGTCGCTAGGCGTCGACCTGCCAAGTCAAAGGTCATCGAGGGCCCTTGCTGTTGTAGGGCCCTCTAACACTCCCCTGCCATACTACAGCAAGGCCCTTCATAACCACAGGGCATGCATACACACGTACACGCCAAAACAAAGGGAAACACACACAAACGAAGCACTCTCAAAGTGCAAACACGCACCGCACCAGCCATGGATAGGCCATGGCACCATCCACATCATGGAGTGTTTAGGTCTCACCCCCCTCACTCGAAAGCCTCACCTGCCCCACAGCCTCGAAGCAACGACTGAAGGCGGGGAAATGCAATGCCTTCGTGAGGTAGTCAGCAGGCTGCTCGCTCGTAGGGATGTACTGCAACTGCAGCTTCCTGCGCTTGACCATGTGCTGCAGCCACATGTGGCGACGCTCCATGTGCTTGAGGCTCCCCTTGAGCCCCATGCCACCTGCCACTGAAATGGCGGAGGAGTTGTCCACAAAGAGAGTAGTGGGCTCCTCACTCCTCAGCAGTTGAAACTCTGCCAGCAGGAAGCACAGCCTGCGCGCCTCCTTCCCGGCCTCCACATCAGCAACATACTCAGACTCAGTGGAGGAGAGGGTGGCGCAACGAATCCTCTGGCTCGCCCATGAGACAGCAGCACCCCCAAGCACGAAGACATAGCCACCTGTGCTGGTCCTGTTCTGCTTGTCCCCTGCATCATCAGCATCGGCGTAGCCCACCAGCTCCAAGGACTCCGGCCCACCTCCAAACTCCAGCGCCACATCCCTGCTCCCCACCAAGTACGTCAAGCACCGGTCCAACTCCTTCCAGTGCTGATCACTCCGCACAGTCTGGCCCGACCCCAGCTTGCTGCAGGCGAACGAGATGTCGGGACGGGTGGTACAGGCCGCGAACTGCAAGGATCCCACCTTCTGCCTGTACTCCTCCTCCTGGCGAGACTGCCATCCCACATCCTCGAAGGTCTGCACACTGAAAGGGTCAGAGGAAAGAGGGGTGCGAGGCACTCGCAGCGGCTGCTCCCCGTCAAAGAAGCGCCTATGAACCTTGTCCACATAGGCCCTCTGGTGCAGCCATAGCCTCCTCGTAGGCCTGTCCCGAATCAGTTGCAACCCCAGATACTTCTCCACAGGGCTAATCTCCCGCAGCTGAAACGCACTCTGCAGCAGCTCACGCAGCTCCCCAAGCATGCTCTGACTGCGGCTGGCAGCAAGCAGGTCATCCACATACACCAGCAGCCAGCACATCTCCCCCTCAGCATCAGTTTTGAAGTACAGAGCCTCATCCACCTTGCTCTTCTTCCATCCAGCCCCAAGCAGCACCCCATCCAAGGCCTCATACCATAGCATCGGGCTCTGCTTGAGCCCATACAGACTTTTCACCAACTTACAGACACGAGGAGTCCCATCCTCGTAATAGCTCGGCTGCTCCATGTAAAGGTCTCGGTCCAGCACGCCATGGAGGAACGCATTCTTTACATCAAGCTGCATCAGGTCCAAATCAAGTGCAGCTGCAATCGCCAGAAGCACACGCGCCGTCACATAGCTTCCCACAGGGGCGTACGTCTCCTCATAGTCCACCCCTGCCACCTGTGTGAACCCCTTCACCACCAGCCTCGCCTTCTCACGCTCCACTATCCCATCAGGTCGGAACTTGGTGTTCAAAATCCAGCGGTTCTTCATCACATTCACCCCTGGCGGACGCGGAACCAACTCTTACGTCCCCTGCTCAATCAAGCTCCGCATCTCTTCATCCATCGCCTCCTTCACCTTGTCGCCCTTCCAGCAGCCCAAGGCCTCCTTCACTGTCATTTTCGCTATGTCCCACTGCCTCTCAGGATCAGCTGCAACGTCCGGGTCCAGGTCAGTCCACTCCTCGTCCTCCTCCTCGTCATCCAAGCCCGCTGGCTCAACCACTACAGCCCAAGCGTATCGAACAGGCGGGACACCACGAGTGATGCGAGTGGAGCGACGCACTGGTGCAGTGGTCGTCCCAGAAACCAACACACGACCACCATCTCTAATTCCCCACATCTCTTGCTCCCCTGTCTGCGGCTCCCCTGTCTGCTGCTCCCCGAGCTGCTGGTCCACCATCTGCTGCTCCTCAATCCGCTCCTCCCCTATTTGCTGCTCCCCACTCTGCTGCTTCCCTGTCTGCTGCTCCCCAATCTGCTGCTCCCCTGTCTGCTGTACTCCATCCATACTGCTCTCGTCCTGCAGCTGCTCAGTCTCAAGGCGTTGCCCGTCGGTGATCTCCACAGACGGTGGCACCTCCATCCCCCCCTCACCAACGGGCTGCGCCGTGGAAGACGAAGAGGAGGGCGGAGCAGGTGCAGGAGGGATGGAGGGTGTAAGGGGAGATGGAATAACAGGAGGAGGAGGGGAAGGCAAGGGGGGTGAGGAGGAAGAAGGCGGGACAGGGGGAATCACACGAGGGTAGACGGAAGGCGGAGGTGGGGTGGGGACCGAGGTAGGGACATAGGGCATAGCAGGAGGTGCGACCACCTCCTCCTCCTCCTCCGCCTCCTCGAGAGTGATCGGGAAGAGTGAGGGAAGGGGCTCATAGGGCATCGAACGCCCCCCATGCTCCTGCTGATGCCAAGCCTTCCATCCTGCTAGGGACATGGTCTCATAGAACACAGCTTCCACAGTGGTGATGAGGCGGTTGGACTCCAAGTCCAGCACGGTCCAGCCTTTGCTCGCAGCTGACACACCCAAGTGCAGCCCCCAGCGAGCCTTAGGTGCCAGCTTCCCCCCACGCTGCGACCGTGGTACCATGTACTGCAGCATGCAGCCTCAAACACGCACCATACTGACATCAGGTTTGCGTCGAAAGGCGAGCTCGTACGGCGTCACACCAGAGGGTAGTGAGGCGTGCTCTACGCGGTTGCGCACCCAGACGGCCTGAGCCAACGCCAGGTGCCACCAGTGATGCTGCACACCCATGTGCAGCAACATCGTCCGCACCGCCTCCACAATGCTGCGCATCTCCCTCTCGGCCATCCCGTTCTGCTCCGGCGTGTACGGGCATGTGAGGTCATGGATGATGCCTTTACCGTCGAGGAAGAGCGTGAAGTCGTGCCCCAGGAACTCGCCACCCCGATCAGTGCGCAGCGCCTGCACCGTGGTCTTGCACTGTCGCTCTGCCATCGGGAGCCACTTCTGGAACGCCGCCAGCGCATCACTCTTCTGGGCCAAAGGGTAGGCCCAGACATATCGCGTCTTTCGATCCTTCAGCACCAAGAAGTAGCGGCTGCCGTCCTTAGCTGCTTCACGGAAAGGGCCACACAGGTCAGCATGCACCACCCCAAGCAACTCATCCTCCTCCTCTCCCACAGAAGGAAAGGTATGACGAGTGATCTTTCCCCCAACACAGGAAACACAAGGTATGCCTGACTTGCCCCCCTTCTCCAAATCCAAGCCCTTCACTGACCCGTGAGCCGCTGTGCGCTCGATGGCATCAATACCAACGTGTGCCATACGCGCATGCCACAGGTCCCCCTTAGACCGCACGCCCGTCGCCAAGGTACGAAGTGCCACCGTTTCGCCTTCCTGCTGCTGCGTCGAACACGGCTGGAAGTTCGTGCAGAGAACACGCCCCTTGAACTCCGCACGACCAAGAAGCGATCCATCTGGTGCTCGCAGCAAAGTCACATCCCCGGCATCTAGCAGCTGCACACCACTATCACGCAGCTGCCCAGCAGAGAGAAGACTCTCCTGCACTCCTGGTACGTACAGCACGTCCGGCACCAAGACACGCGTGCCCCCCTTTCCAAGAAGAGCGATTGTGCCCCGCCCCTGCACCTCCTGAAGCGCGCTGTTGAAGCCAGTAACCTGTTTAATACTGCCGCCGCTGCTCATCTCCACAAAGGCAGAACAATCTCCCATGAGATGGTGGGAGCATCCGCTATCAAGCAGCACGACGCTCGGGTTCGCCTTTACAGCAGCTGCAACAGCCTGTAAGGCCTCCCCGCCCTCAGGCTCTAGCACAACGAGAGGAGTCTGCTCCACAACGGGCTTCACCATCGCACATGATGATTGCCCGCTCCCCTTAGAGCCATCACCCCCCTTTCCGCTGCTTCCTCCAGAACCCTCTCCACCGGTGTCTGCCTCCTTATCCGCCCGCTGCTGACAGTACTTAGCAACATGCCCTATTTGTCCACACACATAGCACTTCCCTTTGAAACCCCCTTTCCCCCCCTTCGGCTGGCCATCCTTACCCCCTTTCCACTTCTCCCCTCCCCCACTAAGCCCACCCCCATTCTTAGGTTGTTGCTGCTGTGCCGTAGTGGGAGGGGAAGGGAACGAATTTTGCTGGAATTGGGGCTTACCCTTCTTGGTAAAGACCTGGTTAGCCTGGGGAAGGAATTGGTCCTTTCGTCCCTCTGACGCCAGCGTACATTCCTCCTCGATGATGTAGCTAGCGAGGGTGTTCTCGTCCAACTCCTTGCGCACCTGCGGCAACTTAAGCATCCTGCGTAAGAGGTTGTACTGCTGCGGCAACCCCTTCACCACGTGAGTGATGTACGACGCTTGTGAGTAATCTACGCCGGCCATCCTCAGGTTCACTAGGATCTGCTGCGCACGGTTGCAATAGGACGTAGCGGACTCGTGCTCTCCCATCTCGAGGTTAGTGAGCGCCTGCTCTAACTGACCGATGTACAGATCGTCCTTCGCCATGTACGTGCGCATAATGAACTGCCATGCCTGATAGCCGGCATCAACCTTCATGCGACACGCCTTAAGGGCGATCTGTACGCTTGGGGAGCAGCATCGGGAAATGGTGGTGAATGTCAGCAACTACATCGCGCGGAACTGAGAGAGATGCGCAAGCGCACGCGCTGGTGGAATAGGGGTGGTGCCATCTATGAATCGCTTTAGCTGAGCGATCTCAAGCTGCGGCTCGATTGATTCTGTCCACGTCGACAGGTCGTGACGTCCTTCTAACGGACTAGTGACAACGATCTTGTCTGGAGTGAATCTGAAGTAGCCATAGTTGGGGGCTATTCCCTCGTCCCTCGACATCGATCCAATCGGGGTAACGCCCGGCATAGTCTCACTATCGAACTCTTCCGCAATTCCTCCTCCAGCAACGCTTCGCCGTCCTACATTCACATGCTCTCGTGACGCTGCTGCACGATGAACACGCTCCTGTACACCGCCGACGCTAGCCGTACTAAACCGAGCTGGTCTTCGCAGGACCCCACGCGACATCAACCCATCAAACTCCTCGTCATCGCTATTTCCGCCATCGACAGCCATATCCCACGCACTAGTACCTCCCGCAACTTGCTCAACATTCTCTACACGTGGGGAAGGGTGCTCACGACGCCGACGCGAGCGCAATCCCTCCAACATTAGCTCGTATTCAATATCACTAATCTCACCACGAGAATGACGAGCCACGAGATCCTCCTCTAGAGTGCGCAAATTACCGGCCTCCACGTTCGCCTCCTCAGTACTCATCCTCTACGACGTCTCTATAAGGTACCACAAATTAAAATAAAGTGCCCCTTCCTTAAATCCCTCGTCTCGGGGTCACCTCACAAGGGTCCTCAGACGAGTGGTAATAAATTACCAAACGCCCTATCCTTGGGTCCGAGAACGTAACTGGAGGGAAATCAAGAGAGGTTCAACTTAGATTAATAAGCGCCCTTCACTAACGCCGCACGCCAAGGCGAGTATACGAACGCGAATATCAACGACGACGTAAATCTATGCGTGTTCGTTCCACGCTCACCGCACCATGAAGGAATCTATTAGAGAGCGTAGCGATAACGAGAGAGTTTTTGCTATGGGAATGATGTTGCGCCAGCAACTTGGTAGAGTTTCGGTAGCATTTGCCTCTAAGGACTTGGTGAGAATTGAAGTAGCATTTTGGACTTCACTAGGAACATAGAAAATATATATCAAACACACAAGCAACACAAACATATATAGGCAGGCGAGGGTTTCACAAGAGGTTGCGTGGGCGCTGCGAGTAACCCAACCCCACGAAAGTGGTGTGTGGGTGAGCGAACGCGCCTCGCCAATTTCTCAACCCAACTCAGCATCGACTTCTCGCTTCCGTGCACACCACTCCACCAACCTAGCAAAGAGTGGTGCGACTCTCAAGGAAGCACCAACAACTCCCACGGACTCTCACTTCTTCATGCGACCTCCATCGAACTCATTCGTCGGTGCCGAGTAGACTCAGTCGCTAGGCGTCGACCTGCCAAGTCAAAGGTCATCGAGGGCCCTTGCTGTTGTAGGGCCCTCTAACAGAAATCGCGCTGGACAGCATCTGGAGTATACCTGCGACTGCGTCAGCATGACGATACCCGCGGATGCTGGTCTGGATACCGTACCAACCAAGCCAGTTGACCAAGGCCAAACCCAAGGCCCAGGTCAGGCTGTTTCACATCGATTTTTTCGGAAAATATGCCATTCGTAACCATTATGGGACTCAAAAACATTTTTGGTAAAAAAGGGTACGGTCACTTAAACGGGTGTTTTCACGCGACTGATAAAGCGTTTCACGTAATCAGTCCAATCAACTTGTATAAAAAAAACGCGAATGGTCACAGATGAAACTCCCGCCAAAACAAAATGAAACTAAAAAAGAATCTGGATGCATTTTGGGATGGTCAACCCTAAACACGAATCTCGTCAGGTGTTTAGCGTTGATCCGTTCCCAAACCGCATCCGATTCTGATTGGGTTTCACTTTTTTTTACAAGTTCGCAGATTGGTTGGGCGCGAGAGGGAGTTTTGTTAGAGTTTCAAAAAAAAAAAAATCGGAAGTTACTTGTGTGACCATTCGCGTGATTTCTTACCTGTTGTTAGTGACTGAATCCGTGATCCCGCTTACCAAACCCGTAAGGAAACCCGATACAGTGACCCTACGCGCTTTTTTTTTACCATTCACGTTATCGAGTCCCAAGTTGGTTACTTGTGACATATTTTTCCCCAATTTTTTTCTATGTTCGACTTGGTTTTCTGCTTTATAAACAACTGTAGTCCGAACTACACGATCATACATAAGAATATACCGTGCTTCAGGGCTGTCTTCCAAAATGTACATTCCACATTAAACAGTAGAGAAATACCAAGAGTAAGGGAAAATAAGAAGACATAGATCACTCCTGAATCAACGCTTAATGCTTGAATTTGGAAGACACCACGTTGGAGGTTACGCCAATAAGTGGTTGTTAAGAAATGAGGAAGCAGGAATGAGAATAGAAGAAGAGATTTGCACTAGCAAGCAGTTGAGTACATATAGGAAACCCTAGATTGGGC